CATAAAGAAATTATACTGATTTGACATAAAGTACATACTAAATTGATAAGATGTTTAAAATTGAAACAATGTCCCCATGTCCCCACCTTTCTATCATATTCTCTATAGCAGTTTCCTTATTTACTTTCTTTAAGGTAGAGAGACTCTGATCTTCTTGAGAATAGTTAATATTTCACTTTTATATCCCTAGCAACTGTCTCAGAGCATGAGACATGGTAACTTCCAATGAATGTTTGTTGAATTGGACTCACTTATTCCTGGATTTTTAAGCTGATATGGTGAACTTACTGACTTCCCAGAGTAGGCTGGGTGGAGATGAAGGGCAATTCCATCAAGGGAGAAATCAACACGAGGTACTGGGTAAACGCCAGATAATACAACCTTGAAACACAAACACTCAGGGCAGTAAGTCTTCCTGTTCAGTGGATCATCCTTTGAGCAAAAGTCTATGCCTGTGTTACTTCAGAAGCCAGGAAGCAAACGTCTCATATTCTCTTTGATAATCTTTGCCTATTTTGAAGGAAAAAGTATGAAACTAAATGATTCTATGATGTCATTTTTCCTTCAGAGGAAAGTTAATATAAAAAGAATTAGTAGTAAGAGTTGAGCTATCTTTTTCCACTTCACAACTCTTAATATCATAAATTAAGACATTAACTACTCTTGAATACAATTTACTGTTTTAAGCTGTGATCTTGTGTTTCTCTGTCAATTTCAAATTTGAAGCAGTCTTGGCTGATGAAAGTTTTATGTAAGCAGAAGCACCATTGTTTCTTGTGTGATGTGAGAACCTCTGCTGGAGTTCTCTTGCTGTGTTGCAGACAGAGAATTCCAGAATTTTGAGTGGAATGATACACCTATTTTGTAATTTGTGTTAATCATGAGGCAAGTTTCTGAGATTTCAAATTACTTCTTAAATGCTTTCCATTTTTTTATACATTAGACAAAGATGATCACTTCCTCCAAAAATCCTATTTGTATTTGATATAAAAATAATTTAATAAAATTATTGTAAGCAGTTATTAAAATTTTACAGCCTATGTTTTCTTACTCTTAATATTAATTGCCAGTGATTGGTTAAGTCCAAATTGGAGAGTTGAAACAAGAAGTATTACTATGTATTTCAAGGCTGGCTCACCAAAAAGGTATTTTTTCCTGGTTTACAGACTTGGAAATTAAGGTATCACATGCTACAATAACTTACCAAGGTCATTTAAGTCATTAGTAACCTGGATTATTACTATTGTGTGATCTATTCTTCCTCTTTCTAGTTCTCTCTGGCTCTAGCATCTACCTTTAATTTTTTTTTTTTGTCCACATAAATGATTTTATCAGGCTTTTACGTTTAACATATTGTGTTGCTAGTCTTCTTATCAGAATGTCTTCTTTTTTTCTAGGCATTTGTTTCTAGTTATTTTAATATTGATATCACTTAATCTTTAGTTCTTATATAATTATTTCTTTTCATACCTATACACAACATTCACACAGACATGGATTTTTTTCCCTCCTCCCTCCCCGCTCTCTGACCCCCAGAACCACCAAAGGAACTCTGAAGGAACTTGATTTTTGACAGGTTCCTTCCTTCCACTTGGCAGCCATTTTATCTCACTGTTCTGAAGGGACACAGTAAGGGCAAAAATGGCCGCCTTTTGTTTGTTTCCTGGTACATTAACATGGTGAGATCATCCAAGGTATTCACTAAAAAATAGGAACCTCTCAGAATCCAGCCGGGGTACGATACAACAGGAAACTTTCCTTTCCATCTTTATTTATGGCCCAAGATTCTGTATCTTTAGTGCAGCTCTCATTGTAGAGGGAAGATGAACATGGGTGGTGTTGAACAAATGCTGGAAAATGTTGACCCTTAACGTGTATCTCGGTATTTCTTTCATGCTAAGAAAAACCTATTCCTTAAGCCATGGAACATTCCAAATCAATGGTAATCCTTCAAATAACATAAAGAAAAATGTTAAAAATTGTTTTATTTAAGTACTTCTTTTTAATCACACTGATTTATTCTGCATTATTTTTTAAGTTTAGCTGACAAAATGTTTACATTGTAATTCTTTTCTTTTAAAAAAATAAGAGTTTATTGGTTGAAGGTTGATGTGAGTATGTGTATATTGATAAACTTATGAATGTATGTATGTGTACCTTCATTCTTTTTAAAATCCAGGACTGACATTTTTATAAAGGCCATTGCAATGCACTGCATGTCTATATAATGGTGCATGAAATTTATTTTTCTGATTATGTTATGATGCTTCTGGCTTTTCCTTCTGTGATCTTCGCTGAATTTTCATGTATTTGCCATAACATAATTACTGAAATTTGTGAGTGAAAAGCTTTCAAATACCAATTCAAGGCAGGCAGACTATCAACAAAATAGCCCATAAAATATATGGAATGTTTAATCAAATTCTATTAATTAAATAGGTTTCTTTTTTTTTTTTATTTGAAGATCCGTAATTGATTTTCAGATTTTGAGAATTTATTTTTGGAAAGATAGTGTGATTGTGTTCAGACATACATAGTTCACGTGGATTAAAACAGTATCTAAGCAGCTAAAGGTTCCTGTAATGTAGAGCCATCATCTCTAGAAGTACTTGTTAGCACTAAACTCAGATAAGGTAAACCATATGCTCTACTGAGGTGAGCTGTCAAAAACAAGTTCCTGCGATTTCAAGAATTAGCATGAACCGTCTGTTCTTTAACTTGAGGTCCCCATTGTTCATTGTAGTCCGCTGCTCTAGGAACGTGTCATCTTTTGAGAAGATAAATTAATCACCTACCTCATTTATATACTTCAATAAAAAGAGTCAAACCCTCCTGTCCTCCTTATCAGAAAGGATTGGTTTTTCTATTTTTATTCACATATAGTATCTTTTAGTGAGGAGGATTTTACTGGAGGAAATTGAGAGGGAAGCATCACCCAGCCTTTTAGTGGGGGTTGGCAGGACCAAGAAAAGAAATAGCTGCAATGAAAAGGTTAAAATGTATTGTAAGTTGGTTTGTTAGAACAGGCCTCTTCCATAATATTTATACAACACTACTTTCAGAAACATGAGGTAGGAAAAGGCTTGAGCAAGTTTCCTCCCCATAAACTCTTATTCAACCTCCAATTAACATAAAATCTAGCTCCCCCTTTTTTTAATGGCTATGGCAACATTTTCAATCATAATGAAACCTTAGGTAGGGATTTCCCCAAATTGTGCTACGTTTGTGTCTTCGGGCAGTTCCCTGATCTGTTATTTCTTCCTCAGCTGATAAAAATACCCACAGACACAGTGAAGTCAGGGGCACGCCTGCCTTTCTCAGACAACTCCATGTGATCACATACAGGCAGCCTCACGGAGGCTGAGGCCGTACAGCAAGCAGTAGGTAATGAGTCTTTGTGCGAGAGAAGCTCTGGTCTCGGAACAATAAAGCATATGGTACCAGCAATAAAACACGGCGGGGCTGGGAAATGTAAGAAGATGCCACTGAACCAGGAAGAACGGTGCCTTCCGTGATGCTGACACGTACTATGTGATGATAATCAATTGATTTTGGATTCTAATGAATAAAGAGTGCCAGGACTCGTCTACAGCTATTTGAACAGGTCGGTGATTTTTATAAATCCCCCCCCCAACACTTCCTTGTATTTGATTGCATTTAAATTAGGTTGGTCTAATGTGTGTTTTGTCTTAAACAACAACTTTACAAGGTATTTGTAATGTGTAATAAGAAGGATGCATTTGAATTGAGCCAGCAAGATTGAATTTTTGATGTAGTCCAATATAACAGAAATGCTGATGTTATTATATTAAACTGAAAAGTTACTTATTCTATTCAAAAATGTAAAGGTTAGAAAAATTTCATTTAATAATTTCTAATACTTTAGCTATGCAGAAATATATAAAGCAGAATGGCTAATAAATAGCTGGTATAAAAAAAGCTTTACTTTTTTATATTAAAAAATTCTGTATTGCCTTAGCTTATATTTCTTATAGAAGAGGAATCACTCAGAATTTGCTAGTGTTTTTCAGTATACAGCAAGATATTTATGTAAAATGTATAATTTTTAAAATAAATTTTAAAAGAAAAATTTTAAATAATGTTATTGAAAGATATATATTTATACTTTTGTAATATGTCCTTACTAATATTTATTTGCTTTTTATAAAACCTTTTGTATAATGAAAACCTTTTATATAATAGATGTTAGTTATGAATATATGAAGAAAAACAAATTAACTTAATTTTAAAAACAGGATTGGATTAATCATTGGATTAGCCAGTATTCCCACTGGTTCACTATTTCAGAAAAGGAAATATATGTTTTTGTGGGTATTTATAAAATACCTGCACACGTAATGTTTATCTGGAAAATAACCAGCTCTTGAGTTTAAGGGTAATAGAGAAGTTTGTATTTCAAATAGACAGATTGCTGTGTGTACGAATCCGAGGCCAGGAGCAATCCTAACAGATAAAAGCTCAGCACTCAAAATCATTGGAAAAGACAAGCACTACTGTGAGGTGACTCTTCGGATTGAAATACGCAGTTTAACTTTGCTCTACGTTTTTACTGCTGTATCGTTTAAAGGCGTCCTGGGACCTAAATTCTTTACAATTAATTTTTGGGTACCATTTAGGATGATGATCTCTAAGACGCTTGGGCACATTTAACATTTTTCAGAATTACTAAAGTGACGGCATCTTATGTGTATAGTGCTTAATGTAAATTGATGTCTGTAAATGTTGTTTAAACCGCCACAACAAAAACACCCCATATGCCTGATTATGCATGCGATACATATTACACTTTAAAAAAAAAAAAAAAGAGCCATGTCTCCAAAACAAGAGAAGTTAATGACAATTTAAAATTGGCCTTCCACACGTATTTAAATGAAGTATTTGACTATTTGGGTTTCCTTGGTTACCAGAGTCGCTGCAGACAGCTTCTTATGGTGGCGAGACGGTAAACAAGTAGCTTAAGACGGAAACAGCCGCTAAAATCTTTCATCCATTAACGGACCTAGGGGGTGTGATGTTGACAGCCTGGTGAAGCATGCCCACTCCCCATTGCGGGTTCGGGTGCTCCGGGATGCAGGTACCCTGGCTGAACCGCTGCTCCACAATTTCTTACCCAGCATTCCGCTTTGGCTGCTGGAGCCTTGCCTGAGCCTTATGCAAATGAGACCAGCACAGGCTTTGACTGCAGAAGAGGAGGGGGCAGAAGGGAGTTCAAAGGTCACGGGGCTGGCTGAAAGCTGGATCAGTTGCCTGGAAAAAAAAAATGTATCCTGGGCTTCTGCAGCCGTGCTTTGCAGCTGTTAAAGGAAGTGCGCTTTATTTCTGAAGATTTTACAGCGTGTGCCGGAGTCATTTAAAGCGCATGCAGGTACGATGACATTTCGCGATGCGCCTGATTTTATTTCTGTTGAAGACACTGATGGTGATTGGTTATTTAAATTCACTGTAGCAGTTGGCAGGATGCTGCTGGTTTCCAGGCACCCCTTGCTAGTTTCTTCTTATTATTATCATTATTCTTTTTCACTCCTAGCGTTTCTCTATTTGGGGTTTTTTGTTGTGATGGAATATTTCATGAGAGAAACAGTTGGGCTTGGGTCTCTGAATAATTCTGTCTTTTGGGTATGTGTTGATTTTGGAGAGCTATCTGGTTGAAATATCTAGATAAATATTAACACTTAAAACTTTCAGTGGGTTTTTTTTATTTTTAAGGAAATATATTTTAAATAAGAACTGAGTTCTAGTCAGCCTAAGATTTTTGTGAGGTATGTGGGATTAAATAATGGAGTTCTTTTGTTCACAGCTGCAAAACACCGTAAGGATAATTTTAAGAAGTTATGTTTTTATTTTAAGGCAGGGTTTAGTTTTGAGAAATTTCACTTTCTGTTGCATTGTTAAAAATATTACTTAAGAAGTGATTACTTATTTGGGGTTTAAATTCCTTCGATGCCTTTCATTTTTCTAATTGTTGTTAAATCTCATTGGACTTTTTAGACGTTACATATATTTAACACATTCAGCTTCCTATGTCTTTTCCTTTCAGTTCAATCAGGATCCTAAGGGGATCCTCATAAATGTCATAGCAGGAGGAAGCCTCCCTCCCCCCACATACACTAACATCACACTTTCGTAAAATGTGTGATTACATCATAGTAAATCTGCCCACACCAAACAAGTGTGTATTCACATTTCTTGTTCACACTGCTTTTTAATTTTCACACCATTTTTTTAAAAGTAAACCTAAAACAGCACAATCCAACTATGTTCATCCACTTCATTAAATTATATAAATGTATCAGTTCAACAGTTGCAATGTTGATGAGAAAAGTATGCTATTTTCATTTGCATATACTGTGTATCTGTCTGTATTACAGGTTGTGTGTGTGTGTGTGTGTGTGTGTGTGTGTGTGTGTGTGTGTGTGTGTGTTTTGGAAAGGATGCAAAATAGGCATTTAGCCATGAAATTACTGCTTTATGTATCCATATTTATGTAAGAAGTTTTAAAATGAAATTTATAAAGCTTATATGTAAGGAGCTAGTACATATTTAGAAAGACAATTATTTTCTTTGCACTTAGAACAGGGAGTTAATTTTATTACAAGGATTAAAATGGGCTAGTGTGGCAACAGTATCTTTCATCTAAAATGAGGAGCGTTTGAGTGGAGCAGACCAAAACAGGAGTGCGTGGACATTTAATCAGTGAAGGACAGTTACTTCAAATATTTATGAAATTCACTTTTTAGTGGTTATTCATTGCCACATTCTCACTCTTTATCACTCATTGGGGACATTATGACATTTATCCAGGACACTGAGTTGAGTTTATGAAATGGAATTCATGTTTTTGTTTTTAAAAATGCAAAAATTGCAGGGTATTTTTGGAATGCTGCTTCTTGTGAAACTTTCAATGGCTTAAGCTGCAAGAAATATATTTTAAATAAATTACTTCCTTTTTTCCATTGATCAGAATATGGTGAACTCTGATTTCAACGTTATTTACAGATGTTTATAAAAATTACAAAACATTGCGTGTATACATGTATGTATTCGATGTGCTGTAGTACACATTGTATATCTATTACTTTTAACATTGCATATATATTACACATTCAAGAAGCTTAACAGAATCTCTCTGATTGTTTAGTCATACTCGAGTCCCAATTTTAAAAAATTCTTTCTGTTAATTTAGACAATGCCAGTAGGTTGTGCCTACTTACCTCGTGTGTGTTCTAGGCAGAGAAAAGAAAGAAATGAGGTTAATATTAATATAAGCAGTGCAGTACTTTTAACTTTGGGCCTGTAGCAGCTACCAGTGAGCATATTTTGAATATAGAAGTAAAAATGCAGTGTGGGAGAAGAAATAGAGCCCATGAAGAGTCTTAGGGAAAACATGATAATAGATATATGTGGAATAAAGAGAATTGTTGTGCTTCTGTGAGCCACAAGAGAGCTATTTATGTCCTGAAGCTAATTTATGGCTTTGAATATCCTGGGTAATTTATGTCTCAATGCAAATTCACTCCAAACTTTGAAGTCTTTTTGCATTGGCTTAATCCATCCTACTTCCATATAGATCGCAGCAGCTTGCATGTAGCATGCTGAGGATCTGGGCTTCTAAACGCATATAGAAAAATGTATTTATGTAAATAGAATTCAAATGAAACTTGAGAAGTAGAAGAGGACAGAGAGTAATCTAAACACAAACCCTTGGGGGTAGAGAGGTAGTGTATGTCACCAAACAGTGTCATGTCCGACTTCAAAGGAATCTTTAGGGATTTTTTTTTTCTTCAAAACCAAATTTCTGATTTCTGATTCCAAGCCTGTCTTTGTCATTGTTTGAAACTAGAGACCATATTGTAGCCTTGGAGAAGATTTTAGGGCAAACGTGTACTCAGTCTAGGGGCATGGAGCAGAGCCTAAAATCTACAAATAACTGCTGTTATTTCCAAATCTAGTGTGTGGGTTTTCAGTTTTACCATCACTGGATTTGTCCATCCCCTGAACTTCTGCAGCCGATGAAACAGAAAGAACAAAGTGACTTTTAACACCAATAGGGAAATGGTCAAAATCAGTATTGAGTATTCAAAGCAACCACACTGTTTTAACGGGGTAGTTCTTAAAAAGCAATCAAAACAAGAGATTGCCTTTTGATTGCCTCTTTCAGAATTTAAATAAAATTGAATCATTTTGTTGAAAAATATAAGCTCAATGCAAATATGAAGTGATTTTGAGGGGCTTATTAGAACTGTATCAGTGTTACAGTGACATCTTATGCAGATGGAGATGAAGCACAACATAAAGACTATTTTCCAAATAGCAGGAGTTTATAACTCTCAGTTTTAATTCTCAGGGTCAGTTTTTTTTTTGAATGCTAATAATTTTCATGGAAACAAACATAATACACATCATTCTGCCCTGTTAAGCAAAGTGGAAACCAGTCTCAGCTTTTCTTCCTGATATCAGAGCCGTAATTCATATTCCTTATTTATTTGCCTACTGAAACACAAAACTGTAGCCTGACTGTCCTCCAGCACCAAGTAGCCTCTTAGTACTATATTCTTATTATATTTATTTTTTATAGTTTTATGGCTTTTAATGTCTCCTTACTTGTTTAATTTTTATTTTAAACATGGTTATTCCATAAGACAACCATTCAAAAATGAACTTTGTGGTCAATTTCTTTGTGGTTTTACACTAACTTCTCAATCACAGAGACTTTGTTGAGCAAGGAAAGGAAATCGACATGTCGCCATACTCTCGTGTCCCATGCACTGATTTTCCTACACACACACACACACACACACACACACACACACACACACACACACATCATAATAGGCACAAGAATATAGAGAATAAGCAAAAGTTATTTTTATTTTGTCCTCAGGATAATTTCAAATAAATGAGAAATTATTCTTGTTGTTACAAGAAGACTGTCATATTAGACTATTGACAATAACTTTACAGTACTTTATATCTAATAGGGAAATGAGTGCTCCTAATTATAAAACAAAAACAAAGATCAACTTTTAGTGTCACTAACTAATTATTAGAGCCAGATGTGCCTCTTTTACCAATTTTAGGAGTTCTATTTTCCAAGCCTGGTGGCATATTCACAGACTTCTCATTAATGGGAGGGAGGAGGTTGCTTTACCGCCTCCAAGCAAGCTTAGTAATCCATCCATACACATTGAGCTGTCCTTGAACCTCTTCATGGCTCACATTGTTCCCAGTCTCAAGGGACATATGACAGTATGCCATCTGAAAATTTACTACACCTAAGCCAGAATATGGGTTATGGTACTTACTGCTATTTTTGTAGATAGGTACATTCACTCTGAAGGAATGTGGATTCCATGAGTTTAGTGTGGAAAGAAAGGTTTTTTAAGAATGAGAACAAGCCGGACAGTTGTGGCACACGCCTTTAATTCTAGCACTCGGGAGGCAGAGGCAGGCGGATCTCTGAGTTCCAGGCCAGCCTAGTCTGCAGAGTAAGTTCCAGGAGAGCCAGAGATACACAGAGAAACCCTGTCTTGAAACAAACAACTCAGAATGAGAACAAGTACACAGTAATTGGAAATTGCCCCATATGCTGTATATTGGGCCTTTGTTTTCCATTCTAGTTTAGTTTAGTTTAGTTTTTAAATAAACAGTACCCAAGTCTGACCCAAATTCACTATGTTGCCCAGGCTGCCCTGGAGCATTTGGCCATCCTTCTGTCTCAGTCTCCCAGATGCTGGGATTGCAAGTGTGCACTACGGTGCCCAATTTCTTTTTAACATTAACATTTTTAAGGAACTGAGAAATCTTGCTTTCAAACCTGGGTTGTTAGAAGACATGTAAACTTAGGGAAATCAAACAACAGTTTAAAAAATGCAGTATATGATATTGCATACTGTGTCCTTATTAGGTTAAGTGCTTTTGATAGTTGGTTGTTATATAGTTGGTTGTTACATAGTTGTTATATAGTTGGTTGTTACATAGTTGTTACATAGTTGGTATGCGATGTGCAGAAGCTCAAAGGGTGGCTAATAGGTTAGATTCAGGTCCCAACCTTGAATGTCATTTCTAAGATGTGTTCTGCAACGATTACATATCTTCTTCCACAGCAAAAAAATGTGTACCAGATCTCATTGAAGATCATCCTAAGGTAGCACTAAGAGCTAATGCCTTGAATTGTAACAAGGCAGTATTGGGAACAGTCATCATGATCATTGAGGTTCAAACGACATGTGACTTTGTGGATTCCTTGAATCTCCAAACTTCTGCAGATGTGGTGTAGCAATGTATAGAGTTATTTATAGCCTTTACTGGTTTTCAAATTTCTCCCTTTGCTATAACATTTTTTTTCGTTGCTTCATGTTGTAAACA